GTTAACACTGCATATACATCCTTGAAACAGCAAAGAGCAATGGCAGACTTTCATACATAAAATTAGTTGAGAAGAAATGGTAGCGTCTATATACCAAAAATATCTTAAAATGTTAAGCGTCAGTCCCTTAATAACTCTGTCAAAGAATTTTGTAACGAGAAGGCGTCAAAAAAAAGATATTTACATTTGAACCTTTTTAGGCTATGTCCTATGTCACTTGGAAAAAGTCATGCTTCCTGTGGTTGTTTGATGTTAGCTTAATACATAATACATAATTGAGAGTTTTTAGATTATTGCATCTCTATTATATATTTGCATACTATAAATGTATATTTCTGGCATGGCTCCAGGGCTTTTGTACCATAGTGACATTCTCAGAAGGGCTAGAACCCAGGGCCGTAAAGCCAGTAAAAAAAACAGTGACATTTTATTTTAGCTAGTGTTGGCATAACATTAAATGGAATTGTTACATAGTACTATGATTGAGATAATGTATTATTGTAGGAAATTCTTTGTAAAAGACTTATTCTCAGCCATATTACTTTTATTTTTGTTATTACTGATAGTACAGTTATTACTAATAATAACTTAATATAAAAATATTTTGTGTGTTGTGTTGGTAGTGTTACAAAGTGTATACGAAAATAGTAGGAATATACTAAATGGCAACATTTGAATAGAGTAAAATGATTTCAGTCATTTGATATTCCCAAAAATGTTTTTTTTTTCTGTGGCTTTAATTAAAATACATTTTTATTTGAAAAATCACAGAAAAATAATAAAACTCATTTTATATATAACTTATTTCTAGACGCTATAATTTTTGTCAACTATTTTTCTGCCATTGCTCTTTGTGAAAAATAATTCTGAGCTCTTTTCAACTGCTGGAGATATTATCAAATCCAAACCTTTAAGGGGCTACTCCATGCGAACGACCTTGAGCATTTGGCCGGCGTGCCGCTCGCTACAATATATTGCGTAAGAAATATGTAAGACGCCACCTATTGTACGAATGTAGTATTATTTTTTCTATTTTATGGAAATACACACAGCGTACAACGATAAATGTATTTTAATTTTTTTATTCGGTATATTAGTTGCATTATATTAGAATTATGTATTTTCATATATTATCTAATTATGAAATTTTATAATTAATTATATATTAAAAATGAAGCATTGAAAATTGTGAGTTTAAAAGATACCTATTCACTATAGGTAAATAAATAGATAGCTCGCCTTTTGTACAAATATTTGGTGCAATATCGAATAAATATATAAATAGGATGTTTCGCAGATGTGTTTTTGATTATTGTTAATTTTTACGTGTCACGTATTGAAAAGTAACATTCCTACCTACCTACTAATTTTTGAACTGAGCACCTTGTAACTTAGCCTGCTTATTACGGCCATTAGATGGCAGACATTATCCTCACCCCAATGATTGATGAGGATGAAAATCAATTTTATTTCTACATACGTAATTATATTTATTTATACATAAGGGCAACTTTAATAAAGGTAATACAAAAATCAACAAGAAGTATAAGGGTTCAATCTTTCAATTTCAATTGTAAAAAAACGTTATCCCCAAACTAGGATTTTCTCCTGTGTCGTGTAGGCAATTTACAAACATAAATTGCACAAGGACAAACATCCAGACCCGGAACAATTATTTGTAGGCCATACAAATACTTGTTCCGTGCGGGATTCGAACCCGCAGCCCCCAGCGCAACAACTGATTGCTAAGCCACTACGCCACGGAGCCGTCGCCGGGTTATAGTTAAAGTGACCTTACGTCCCGTTTTGAACGGGACTGTCCCTTTTCTCGGTCACCTGTCCCATTGTCCCCAAACAAAGCTCCGGGACACAAAATTGTCCCGTACCTCGTTCGATGGAAGTATTCAAAGTCAACAATCTTCAACATAATTTTTTTTAATCGAATATATTTTATGTCTACCTGGTACAAATGTTCCAGTAGAAAGAGTATTTTTTTTTATTTTGAATAAATTGTGGACGTCTGAAAGAAACACTTACGGTTCCAGTTCTAAAGGCGATGTAGGTAACAATAAAAAAACTTGAGCAGAATTTTATTCTTATTTAAAATCATCACCAACTTTATTAAAACAAATTTAATCCACTGACAAATGTAATTAATAATTAAAAAAATATGTTGCATTTAATAATTACCGTCTAGGTATACCGAATATAATTTTATAGTGAACACTAATTGTATAAAGTTATAGTTTTTAGAGTATAAATAAACCCATGTCCTGTTTTGAGTTAAAAAATAAATGGTCAGTTTAGTTTTTTCTAGTTAAATTTAGTTTTAAAAAATTTTAGTTTATAGTAAAAAGTAGGTTTATTAATACCTACTTAAATATTTTTTACCGAAGTAGGGTCGAAGCCCCTAATACCAGTCATGCCCCTAATTCCTGTCTTTTCGCCTTTTTACTCCATAAATAAGATTTGTAGTAGTCTTAACTACAAATATTGTCATCTAAAAATTCTTTGTACCTAGAGGAAAGTATATTTATTCAAATATTACCTCGCAGTTTTAAACCTAACAGTGTTAAAATCAAAACAGGTACGCAACGAAAAACGATCATTTTCCTAATTATTTGACAAGTTATGATCCCGGTAAAATTAAGTACTTTACATTATCTCATATATAGGCTATTTGATTTGTACGAATATGACTATAGACTATAGTAATGCAGTTATTTTTGTTTGAATTTACAAGTTATTTATTTTCTTTTAGTGGAAATTAATGGGGCTGTAATTAGATATGAGAAATGTATGGAGTGCATAATGTCAGCCGCCCGGCTGTTATTTATACTTTTTATATATACTTTTTTGTCCGACCCGGGATTCGAACCCGAGACCTCATGATCAGCAGTCGCACTACTACAACCACTAGACTAACGAGGCAGTACTATACCTAATAAGATATTGTGGTTGGGTATTAGGATTATTTTTAACTGTATACTATACTGATAATATTGAATTAGCCTTTTATAGTGTAAATTATAATATTTGTCGAAATGTTAATTATGGATTCGAACCTTACATGCTAATGGTTTAAATTTTTATTTCGGCAACTTTGGTGTATCATTTAATGCTTTTCATTTCTTTATTTTTTAATTTTAAAGCTGAGAACCACATGCATGCAGATCACAGACTAATATGATACTTACGTATATGCAGATACTGTGATACTGTTTAATGACAACAAGGGAAGGAATTAAAAATAATTCATGAAATAAAATGCTTGTTACAAAAATATGGAAAGATTGAAAAAAAATACAGTAAATAATAAAAAAAATGTTAGTTAAAAGATAAATCTTATAAAATTAGTTGAAAATTGTTTCATTTCTTAAAACAAAATTGAGGTGATCTTGTAGGGAATCTGTTGAAGACTTGTCCTTAAATTGGGGAATTGGAGATGGATTTTCGGGGAATTTGGCAAATTGGTTATCTCAACGCTGCATTTATCTTATCTATACCCATAGATAAGAGTGTATATACGGAAATCTATACTAGGGATGTACGATGTTATAGAAACATCGATGATGACATCGATGTTGACATCGACAGCTCAACATCGATGTTCGATATTTATCCTACTCAAAACATCGATGTTGGCCATTATCGACGTTTTTTTGCATATGTATTTAATAGGTTAGAATTAGATGAATAAAAAAATTGTCATGTTGTTTATGGTTTATAATGAATGAAATAAAAGAAATTAATAAACAATGTAATATAAAACAGTAATTTTAAAAAAATTGGAAGAATTTCGCAAATATCTAATTCACTTGTTATATTGTCCAATATTTTTGCAGATTGATTGATGAAATAGTAATTTTGACAAAGAAGTACTTTTCAATCTGTTTATTTGTTGATACAGGGTTGAACCAGCTATTGAAAATAATTTAAAAATATTTTTTTTTTTATAGGAGAGGGGGCAAACGAGCATGCGGCTCACCTGATGGTAAGTGACTACCGCCGCCCATGAACAACTGCAACACCAGGGGAATCGCAGATGCGTTGCCGGCCTTTTAAAAAGGAGTACAACTGACTTAAGAATAACTCAAAAACTATTGGTCAGACTTATATGGGTCTAATTTATATGGGACCACATGTGAAGCACCAAATTTCAAATAAAAAAAATAATCGAAATTGGTTCACCCAGAAAAAGTTATCAGGTAAAACACATTAAAAAAAGAACATACAGTGGAATTGAGTACCTCCTCCTTTTTAAAGTCGGTAGATAGCCGCTTAGATGGTGCTGATGTAGCAATTGTGGTCAAATATCTCACCTAGATAGGTAGAACCGATAACATTGTTCTAAACGTGCATTGGATCGTGTTTAAGATCAACCATCGGATTTTTTTAAAACAACCGATAAAGAAACAGATAACCAAAAACGATACTAATACCAAACGAAATCAGTGACAACTGCGATATTACAGTTGACACTCGACAGTTAAATTTGATACCCCATAATATATTTTTAGGTTATCGATGCGTTCAAGCATTCTGAATTATTCAAAATTTAAAATATTTTAGAGGAGATGCAAGATTTAGTTGATATTGATTTCGCAGATTCGCAAGTACCCAATAATCGATTATGGGTTTATTGACATCGATGTTTCGATGTTTGACATGTGGCAACATCGTTGTTAAAACATCGATGTTTTCATTCTTGACATCGATGATCATCGATCGTCCCTAGTCTATACCTATCCTATGGTACATACTACATATCAAGCTAAATTACATATTTTGATTTCAAACTTATTCTTTACTTGACCAGATAAATTATTACATAGGTATTTGTTTCCAAAAGATTTTTATAAACCATATAAAAAAACCTAAAGTTGCAGGACTAACGACATAAAAACTTCAATGTATGAATACTTCAATACTGACATCAACAAATCAGTGAACACGCTTTTGATTGTGAACGTATTTACAGGAACACAAAAGATACACATCTGAGTAAATGTTTAAGTTGGTTGCTGCGACACGGTGCACTTAAAGAAGGCTTTACATTGAGGTCGGTTTATTATATTTTTTATTAAGGTATAGTTTGATTATTTTATTAGGACATGGCATTTTTATGTTCAGTAGTTTCAACTTAATGCTATTTACTGCTGTTTCCAGTGTTCCTTTCTGTATACTGTATTATACTATAGAAATGAAAAGCAGTTTCTTTGTGATATGTAAATATATAATGAAAAGCATACCCACATGGATCTCTAAAAAAAAAATTACATGGATTTGGTTACAAGGAGTTAGTTAGCCAAGTTCACTTTCTACATTTGTTAATACTAATAAAAAACTATAAAAATATATCATCTCAGAGAGATGCTTAAGGTGAATTTAACTTTCTAAAATAAACCTGAGCTTTAATGGTCCAAACCTCATCTAATTCAACTGCCCTTTCTTCATGCACAATAGTAAATGAAGTTTTTTTTTTATAGCTTAGAAATTCTGCGAATCTAGTAGGTTTTGAAGATATTTATGCTTAGGAATTCTCACTCTCAATGATATATTTAAACACATGAGCATGATAGTAAAAATAAAGAATCAATAAGGGCATCCAGTTACAAAATGAGTTATGAATGGTTATCTCAGTTGCTTAAAAATTTGTATATTGGCAGTGGAACCAGACTAACTGAAATAGCCCAATGGATTAGTAAGCTGAAGTGTCAATGGGCCAGCCATATAGTATGAAGAACCGACAACTAAAGGGGAGGAAAGGCTCTCAAGTGGTAGCCTCGTACTGGTAGACAAGGTTTGGAGTGGCTCCCCACTATATGGAGTAACGACCTGGTAAGATTTGTAGGAAGTCAATGAATCCAGGTTGCTCAGGATCTTGCTTTGTGGCATTCCTTGGGATACCCATGTTTATGAGAGACCTATTTGTATGATGATGATGATCCAGTTACAATTTACCGAATAAAACCTAAAAATTAGCTCTTATACCTGGCTCCAATGCAATATAACTGATATAGTCAATCAAATCATTCTACTCTAAAAAAAATTGTCCAATTTTAATGAAGGATGAATAAAATGATAGATTAGAATATCCACATTATTGTAGTGTATTTCAGTCATATGGCTAGTGCCATAGATATAATAATAGAAGTAGATATGCCCGGTAGTTGAAAATGTATCGGAACCAGGTGTCTCCAGTTGTCCCCTACCACCCGCCTACTACTACACTTGCAGATCAGTAAAAGCAATATATACGCATTTGTGCACGCACTCGCATTTTATAAATCAGAACGTACTACACAATCAATTATAAACCGTATCCCTACAAACACAGCGTGCATTTACTATGCACCGTACTACTTACTCTCACAAAAATATCGGGTGCTATCGTTGTGCTGTGCAAAAGCCATTTTTTACATATACTTTAGTGATTAAGTAAATTGGAAAGTTATCGATTCTCTTCCATTTATACTAAAATTGCACTGAAATTGAAAATAAAATAAATAAAAAACGATATGCACAGGAAATTATATAATAAAAATAAACAATATGTAGCTAAACGTGAATTATTAAGTACCTAACCTACCTTACAAATACAATAAAAAAACCCGGTTATGTTGGTTTAGATTGTTATAGCGTATTGAAAAAGTAGGTATTTTGGCATATGGTACTAGTTTTTGTAGGGAACCAGTTTGGTGGCCTTCCTGTGGCATCAATTCATTTCTTTTTTAAATTAGTATCTTTTGGGAAGCTGAAAATGTATGACAATAATTTATTTACATTTACATATATCCTACGCAACTTCTTAACCTCACCATGTACCTGGCAAGCTTTTGTTAAAAAACCCCTGGTTGGTCAAGATATTGTTAAATATATGAAAACAAACACACTCATGCATAACAAATAAATATTTAACGGTGGTAGAGCCCTGCAGCAGTTTTTTGCTGTTGCACGTATGGGCCGGCTCGAGCCGGGTTGGTACCACGACCTCACAGAATACCGGCGTGAAGTAGAGGCTCTGCTTCTGCGTTTCGTCTGGTGAGTGCAGGTGGCCGGAGGCCCAATTCCCCCCCCCCCCCCCCCATCAACATGGTAGCGGAATTAGACAATAGACTACCCCAGGAGGGTACCAGTACCCCTGGAGAATCCCTCGCTGAGCATCCACGACCATGTTATTCCAATCCTGAGCGTGGGTGCTCAGGCTGCCCCACGTATTCTGGGGGGGGCAAAATTCCGCTCAAAAACAAAACTGCTCGGGGCAAGCTGAGCAACAATACCAAGGCGACCCCTGCCACGCTATCCGTGAATTTCTGCAACATCAGGGGACTTCACTCTAACCTAAACGCCGTCCACTACCATCTCGAGACGGCGAAGCCGGCCTTGCTCTTTTTGACCGAGACTCAGGTTTCCTCTCCGACTGATATTTCGTATCTCTCCTGCCCGGGGTACAAATTGGAGCACTCCTTTGTGCCTCGGGCTGGAGTTTGCGTGTATGTTAGAGAGGACATCTGTTCTCGACGCCTCGGCAGTCTTGAAGGTTCGGACCTGTCCATCCTTTGGCTACACGTAGACAGCGACGACCATCCGCGCGTCTACGGGTGCCTCTATAGGTCCCATAGCGGTAATGCCGAAACAGACCGACTCATCGACCACGTCCAAATGGCTACAGATTCCTTGCTACAACAGGTCCCATCCGCAGAGATCGTGATCCTTGGCGATTTTAACGCCCACCATGCCGAATGGCTCGGTTCACGTTTAACCGATCATGCGGGGAGATCTGTTTATGACTTTGCCTTGGCATATGGTCTGACACAACTGGTTACTTCGCCTACGCGGATTCCAGATGTAGAGGATCATACACCTTCCCTGTTGGACCTTCTGCTGACCTCTCATCCGGACGGATATCAGGTTTCCGTCGATGCCCCTCTCGGCTCTTCGGACCATTGTCTGATCCGGAGTATGGTGCCACTCACGCTCCCTTCGCGGTTGCGTTCTGCAGGTTGCCGCCGTGTTTGGCATTACAGGTCGGCGGATTGGGACGGAATGCGGTCTTTCTTTGCATCCTACCCATGGGGGCGGGTTTGCTTCTCGCCGGATGATCCCAGTGCTGTTGCTGACTCTGTCACTGATGTGGTGCTACAGGGAATGGAACTATTTATTCCATCATCTGTGGTACCCATCGGAGGCAGATCTCAGCCTTGGTTTGGTCGCTCCTGTAAGACTGCATTGCGCAGTAAGCAGGAGTGTTATCAAGCCTGGGCTGCGGCTTCGGTGACTCGGGATGTAAACACCAGCACACTTAAAAAGAAGTATAACTTCGCCTCCAGGTCCTTCAAAAGAGTTATTGCCAAGGCAAAGTCAGAGCACATAGGCAGAATTGGCGAGAAACTAGTTCGCCTTCCTTCGGGAACCCGTGCATTCTGGTCTCTCGCCAAGGCTGTCCAAGGGAATTTCTGTAAGCCATCACTACCATCTCTGCACAGGGAGGACGACTCACTGGCCCAAGACGCAAAAGACAAAGCCGACCTTTTAGGCTCCCTTTTTGCGTCCAACTCGACTCTTGATGACGGGGGGAAAATACCGCCGACCATCCCGCGGTGTGAGTGCTCCATGCCGGATGTGCTATTCTCACAGCGCTCAGTTCGCAAAGCACTTCTCTCCCTGGACATCCAGAAGTCGAGTGGGCCTGACGGAATCCCCCCAATTGTGCTGAGGACGTGTGCTCCGGAGTTGGCACCGGTCCTAACGCGTCTTTTCCGGTACTCCTACTCCCAAGGCGTAGTCCCGAATTCATGGAAGACAGCTTTTGTCCACCCGATCCCTAAAAAAGGCGACCGCTCAGACCCGTCCAACTATAGGCCTATCGCGATCACCTCCTTGTTCTCCAAAATAATGGAATCCATTATTAACTGCCAGCTCATCCGGTACCTTGAGGATCACCAGCTGATTAGTGACCGCCAATACGGTTTTCGTCGGGGTCGATCAGCTGGTGATCTTCTGGTCTACCTGACCCATAGATGGGCGAAGGCAGTAGAGTCCAAGGGGGAGGCGTTGGCCGTTAGTCTGGACATTGCGAAGGCCTTTGATCGGGTTTGGCACAAAGCGCTTCTTTCGAAGCTGCCTTCCTATGGGCTTCCCGAGAAATTGTGCAATTGGATCACCAGCTTTCTTGCAGATCGGAGCATCAAGGTCGTTGTAGACGGTGCATGTTCTGACTACAAGCCTATTAACGCTGGTGTTCCACAAGGCTGTGTGCTATCACCAACGCTGTTTCTTCTGCATATCAATGATATGTTGCTAACTGGTAACATTCATTGCTATGCGGATGACAGCACTGGTGATGCTCTATACACCGGCCGGGCCAATATTTCTCGGGAAAACGTCGCCGAGTACCGGAACAAACTTGTGTCTGAAGTCGAGTCTTTGCTGGACAAAGTCTCGGATTGGGGGCGACTAAATCTAGTCCAGTTTAATCCTCAGAAGACACAAGTTTGCGCGTTTACCGCTAAAAAGAACCCCTTTGTCGTATCTCCTCAGTTTCAAGGCACTCCCCTTCTTGCCTCAGCCAGTATCGGTATCCTCGGAGTCGACATATCGAGTGACGTGCAGTTTCGTGGTCACTTGGAAGAGAAGGCCAAATTGGCCTCTAAAAAGCTTGGCGTGCTCAGCAGAGCGGGACAGTATTTCATGCCGGCACACCGCCTGCAACTTTACAAGGCGCAGGTTCGGCCTCACATGGAATACTGTTCCCATCTCTGGGCAGGGGCTCCCCAGTGCCAGCTCCTTCCACTTGACCGCATCCAGCGCAGAGCGGCTCGAATCGTCGACGACCGAGCCCTTTCCGATCGGCTCGATTCATTGGCACTGCGAAGAGATGTTGCATCTCTTTGCATTTTCTTTCGCATCTACCATGGGGAGTGCTCTGAGGAATTGTTCGGATTAATCCCAGCCGCCAAATTTCACGAACGCACATCGCGGCAGAACTCCCGATACCATCCACACCATCTGGATGATTGGCGGTCCACCACTGTGCGATTTAGAAGATGTTTTCTTCCT